AAGCAAATCTGTTTCTAATTAAGGGGATCACAGAATCCAAGCACCAGGGCTCGGTTTGATGCAACATTTCCCATCTAAGGCTATATGTTCTGTGAAGCAAATACGAGGTTCTAGGAAGCTTTCATATGAAAGTGTGCTTGATATGTTTTTAGTATATGTGCTGCCGAAGTGTGCACATGCTTGATATGTTTTTAACATGCCTTCTAAACTGGGAGTGCACCTGCCTGTAATCCTAGCACTCGAGAGGCTGAGGCAGGAGGATCACCATGAGTTTGAGGCCAGACTGCTACACAGTGAGTTCAAGACCAGTGTGAACTACATAGTGAGACCCTGTCCCCAGAAATAAAAGAAAACAAAAAATGCATTTTGTACCTTTTTGTGTGTATTTCTACTTTTACCTAGGAAATGTTATAGCTTACTTTCTGGTGTCAGATGATCTTGAGTTTGACTCTACTGGCTGATTCCTGCACCTATTCATGTGTGTCACTGTGAACATGAGGTGAAAGGCAGGTGAGATATACTCCGTAAATTTCCTTCTCAGGTAAGACATGATAAAAAGAGTACTGCAAAGCATTTTCATTTAAATAATTCCATTCAAAATAGAGACCCAAAAGATTATGGAATTTTTCATCACTTGGTAGTTAAGGTCAAACACTAAGTTTTCACTTGATTTGCACCTAATAATGTATTGATTCATACTTGGAGGGTGCACAACATCTCACTATGTATCCCAGGCTGGCCCTTAACTCACAGCGGTCCTCCTGCCTCAGCCTCTGGAGTGCTGGGATTATAGGTGTGCGCCACCACGTGTGGCCCACTCCCAGCTTTTAATTCATACTTTCTTAAGTAAATGTCAGTTATCCTGCCAAAACAGAATCCAATAAAAATCCAGAGACTGAATCACGGGAAATAAACCTAGGGTTTTAGAAGCTATTGAATCTAATTTATAAATTATAAATATCAGCTTTGAACTTAATAATGTAACTTGGTTCAGTTTATTTTCTCAAAAGCGTAGGAAAATGGAAAGCATTGATCTGTGGTATCCGTCTGACTTGAGTTTTATGAATGGATTACTCTGAGTGACAGTGGGAAAAATTCTTGGTTTATTGAGACAGGGCCTTGCTTTGTAATCCAGGCTGGCCTTGAACTCTCAGCAGTCCTCCTGTCTCAGCCTCCCACATGCTGGGGTCACAAATGTGCACCACCACACTGGGCCAAGTGGGCAAAATTCTGAACCTCTGAGTCTCAGCCCCTTGGCCCTCAGCCTGGGGCCAGGATGCTTGCTGCCAATGTGGAAGTGCATGGGCACACAGACCCCCACCTGGGCAGCCTGGCAGTACCCACAGTTACTGCAGTCTCACTTAGCCCTCTTCCCTGCCTCCTCCTCTAGCCTGCCACTTACTAGTAAGTCATTTTACATATTCATGCCTCAGTTTCCTCATCTAGAAGGAAGGTCGGAGCCAGGTGTGGTGGAATACACCTATAATTTCAGCAATCAGGAAGCTCAGGCAGGAGGATCACTGTGAGTTCCAGGCCAGCCTAGGCTACACTGTGAGTTCCAGACAGCCTGAACTACATAATAGCACCTAATAGCACATAATAGGCCCTGTTTCACAAAAAGAAAGGAAGGCAGGCAGGCAGGCAGGAAGGGAGGGAGGGAGGGAGGGAGAGAAGAGAGGGAGGGAGGGAAGGAAGGAATAAAGGAGAAAGAAGGGAAGGGGAAGGGGGCCAGATCACACACTCCTCCCCTAAATTCCACAATTTCAGGCTTTAAAAGTGTAAATTATTTAAATGATTGGTTCCCATGTGGAAAAAATATTGGAGCCATACTCAGAAGCATAATTGATAGATCAATGAAATAGGTACTGACCCTGAACTGTATCTATTCTCTATGCTGAAGATAAATTCTTCTGAGAACAATTGGGAAATCCAGAAAACCATAACAGTTTCTTGCGTTCCCCTAAGAAAGCAATGAAACTCCACATCCTATAGTCCGGAAATGAGTAAATGGAAGGATGTAAATATTTATTGGAAGGAGACCGGATGGGAGAGAGGCTCTGCTTTGTCTGTGGTGGGTGGTAACACATCTATGGATCATTGTTGGGACTAAGCATTTAATAATCCCATCTGTTGAAAATGCATATTTGGAGGTACTTTGAAATTGGTATAAGCTACCTAAAAATTGGCAGGGATGTCAGCTGGAGAGATTCCAAGCTCTGAACCAGAACAAGAAATGCAGTATAAATCAATACATAATTATAACACTCCATCATTGGCCACAGCTCCTTAAATCTGTTTACTTAGGCATCATGCAGGCTTATAATGCTGGGATCTAGTACTGATGGGTCCTTTGCTAGCCACAGTTTGGATTTTTGGGGATACTGTTTATTTGACCTGAAAAACCCTCAACAACTGAACTTTTTCCTACTGGCCAATTGTGTCATTGTCTCCACTGATAATTCTCCATGTCCCCATTTGTCTCCTAAGTCCTGTTAAGTAGATTACATTTTGTTTCAAAAATGAATCACTGATCTGGGTGTGGTGATACATTCCTGTAATCCTAGCTACTTGGGAGGCTGAGATGGGAAGATTGAAAGTCTGAGCCCAGTCTGGACAATTTAGAGAGATCCTGTCTCAAAATAAAAAATAAAAAGGGCTGGATAGGCACATTATCAGACAGTGAGGTGGTCAGTGGTCCTTTCCAGGCTCTTGCTGTCCCATTCAAATAATTGGAAGGGACAGTCAGCTGATGGATGTAAAAGTTCAACATTTATTTAAGGTAAAAGAAGAAGGAAAAGTGAAAAGGAAATGCAAAAATAAGTGCTGAAGAGGAAGAAGTGCTCTGAAGAAAAGAGAAGATAAGCCGTGCACACAGTCTGGGCCACTGTGAGAACAAGAGGATAGTGGTAACAAAGTTCATGGCCAGCGTCTTTTACATCTTCGTTTGATGGCACATTCAGGCCCTCCCACACTTCGAAGCTGCGCAGTGAATGCATCTGGGCTGTGATTTGACAGCTCTCCATGATTGACAGATCATGTCTGATTGTCCAACCAGTTTGTCTTGCCCTAATCTTCTGCCTCGGGTGCAGGTGCATAACATATGGAGTACATATACCTGCTCCCTAAGATAAATATTGTGAACTTCATGTGTTACAAACATGTACTAATAAAATTTTTAAAAAATTTTAAAAAGGAGCCTGGCGTGTAGCTCAGTATGAGTTCCTCGGTTCCATCCCCAGTACTGAAAAAAAAAAAATCACTGTCTTATAAAGGGGTCTTGACACTTTTCTTCCTCTTACCCGTTTTGTTGTTGTTGTTTAGTTTTGGGGTTTTGTTTTAGATGGGGTCTTGCTAAGTAGTTCAGGCTGGCTTTAAACTCACTGTGGAGCCTAGCCTGTCCTCAAATTTGCAGTGATCCTCCTACCTCAGCCTCTCAAATGCTGGAATTACAGGCATGCACTGCCGTGCCCCACCCTCTTACCTATTTTTCAAACCAGAAACCTACTTGGTCAGGCTCAGCCTGGGATCTCATTGGGAGCAGCTTTGACACAGCATTCTGTGAACCTCTTTCTTTCAAAGTCTCCATTCCGCAGCTTCTCTTGTCTCCATCTTTTCTGTCCCTCTGTCCACAGGTCTCCTTCCTGTCCACTTACCCCAAGGCTCTGCTCGTAGATTTTCCACAAAGGGGCAGTGGCTTGCTGGGAACTGGAGCTGCTGTGAAGGAGAAAAGTTTGGGGCTTGAGGAGGTGCTGTCAAAGGCACTGAATGGATCATTACCTCTCTAGTTATCGTTTAATGAGATTCTTTACATAATTCTGTCTTTATATAAAATGAAAGTAGGAGTTGAAGAGAGAGCAGTTTTCAACCAAAGAAATCTGCATTTTGTTTGATTTTCCCAGGGCCATCAAGTTCCTCGGAGGTTTCAGTCTCCTCCTCATTGCCCAGCATAGCTGCTGGCACATGAGGTGTGACCTCCTGGAAGTGGTGTTCGGGGCTGAAGGGCAGCCGTAACCGCCAGGACCTCAGTGTGACTTCACTTGGAGTTAGAGCTTGTGGAGAGGTGGCCAAGTTCAGAGGAGGCCAGTAGATTGGCCCTGGTCTGACAGGGACTGGTGTGCTACATGAAGAGGACTAGGGTTTCATATGTACCACTGGACGGCCATGTGAGGACACAGCGAGCGGGCCATCACCTGCAAGCCAAAGAGAGATGCCTCGGGAGACCAACCCTGCTGCCATGGAGATCCCAGACTTCCAGACTCCAGAATGGCGAACGGAGAAACTTCTGCCTCAGCAGGCTGTGGTATTTTGTTACAGCGGCCCAGGCCGACGAATACAGCTAGTCACAGCAGTACCAGGCCTGTGTTAGGAGAATGCTGTAGGATCCAAGAGGAGAACCCAGGACAGGAGTCTACAGACTAGCTTGAAGGCAACCAGTGTGGTGGTGCATTCTTGGAATCCCAGCACCCTGAGTGAACTCCCACTGTTAAACCGAGCACAATGTGAGCAACGAAAGAACTAATGATCAGCCGGGTGTGGTGGCACATGCCTGTGATCTTAGCATCCTAGGGAGGGATGCAAGTTTGAGCCCAGCTGGGCAACTTAGTGAGACCCTCTCTCAAAATGACAAAAAAGGGCTGGGGATGTAGCTCAGTGTGGCTCAGTGCCGAGTTCCATCACCAGTACTACAAATAAATAGAAGGAAGGAGGGCTGGGGATGTAGCTCAGTGACACCGTGCCTTCCTTGCAAGTGCAAGGTCCTGAGTTTGCTCCCTGGTACAAGACAAAAAAAAAAAAAGGAAGGAAGGGAGGAGGACGGAAAGGAGAAAATAGGGTGAAAGGGCTCAAACAGAAAGTGAACCCAGCAGAGTGGCAACCTGGAGCTGTGTGTAACATGTTTGAAACCCTTTTCTTTCTTTTTTCTTTGGTACCGGGGATGAACTTGGGACTTTGCACTTGCGAGGCAGGCGTGGTGTCACTGAGCTAAATCCCTGGCCCTGAAGCCCTTTTCTAATGAGGAAGCAGCGGATGTCGCCCCAAGCTCAGGCTTACAGCAGAGCGGCAGCCCCTGCAGAGCCGCCCCGGCGTGGACGCCGAGTGTCCTGAGTGGAAGCGGACAGAGCTATGCCGAGGGCGACCAGCCTAGGCCAGGAGAGTGAAGCCAAAACCCAGCCGGGCTCCTGAAGAACAGCCCAAGTGCAAGTGTGTGGGGAGGGGCTGTGGCCTGCGCTCACTCGGTTCTGGTTTTCCTTTAGGAGTCATGGTTTCCTCTTCGCACTGCTTCAACGAAGGCACTAGAAAGACCTTGCGCGGTCGCGGAGGCCTGCATGTCCTGCATTTGGTGGCCTCTGCCTCAGCTGTGAGAATTTGACCTTTCTAAAGCCACAAGAGACTTCTGCTGGATTCAGTACGCTAAAGACAAACCCTGGCTTACACACACTGTTGTGCAGGCACCCGCCGGGTAAGCACTTCAAAACCATTATTTCTGTTCCTTTCGATTTATGCTGATGTATTCCTGCCTGCTCATTGGATAGCAGCCGTGGCCATCAAGATCTGATTTGTGTATTACATAATTATTCGGGATTCTCGATGGATTCTCAGTAATAGAATATATGACATATTTTCAGAGATGAAAACTTGCACCTGAGTTTTTATTTGGGTTTGGTACCTAGAAACATGCTGCAGTTTCACTTTTCTTCCAAGTGGATTACCAGTGGTTTCCATTTCCCATTGGTTGTTCCCACGCTGCCTCTTGTAGACTGTGCTTCCATATGCGCGAAAGGCTACTTCTGAATTTTCTCTTCTGGGGTCTGTATCCCTGTTCCTTGTTGTGTGAACTGAATTACCATTGCTGATAAAATGTCTAGCTATGGGATAAGAAGGGCACACCATGCCTGCCCCGCTCACCGTACTCCCTCACCAGGTTTTCTTTTTTCCATTGGATTTAACAATAAGCTTGTCAGCTTTTAGGAAACCCGTGTGTGTGTGTGTGTGTGTGTGTGTGTGTGTGTGTGTGTTACTAGGATTGGATCCAGTCGCTTGCACATGCTAGGTAAGCACTCTACCACTGAGCTATATCCCCAGCCCACTTTTAGTTTTAGATTTTAAAAAGCTCTCATTAAGTTGCCCAAGCTGGCCTCAAACTTGTGATCCCCCTGCCTCAGCCTCTCAAGTAGCTGGAATTACAGGTATGTGACACCATTCTGGGCTAAGAAAAACCCTTTAGACTGGACTGATTTAGGGGCAGTTGACATCTGTCTGATACTACATCTTTCCTTTTATGAGTATTAGAATACCTCAATATTAGCTTTAGGCTTTATTTTATAGAAAAATGAATGTTTAAATAAAGCACATCAGTATACACAATATTTAAATCTTCAAACATTTATTGAAGGATTTCCATTGCAAGAAGCATGCTAGGGATTGATGGATTTTTAAAATGAGCAAGTGAGTCCTCTATTTTAAAAGATCACAGTCTATTAGAGAGCAGTTCAGTAGACAAACACACAATTTAATATAAACCAGACTGTGATAAATATTCTGCCAGAGTTCTACACAACACACTACCAGGGAAGGGAGATCAATTTTGGCCTGAGAGATGGCATACTAATATTAATATGTTTATAGTTTACCTTGTATTTATTTTACATTTTATAGAATGAGATGGGGAGAATACTTGTCAGCTTCTCCCTCCCTCCTTTTTTTTTTTGTGGTATTGAGGATTGAAGCCAGGGCTTTTACACTGAGCTACACCCCTATTTTATTTTGAGACAGGGTCTGGCTAAGATACCCAGGCTAGGCTCCAACTTGCATCCTTCTGCCTCAGCTTCTCAGAGTGCTGAGGTTACAGGCATACATCATCATGCCTGGCTACTGATCTATTTTCATATGTTGATAATTAAATAAACATGGAGTTCGTTCTTTATATTGTCATCTAGTCAATGTGAAAATATAGGCTGAGTATTCCAAATCTGAAAGTTGAAGTGCTGTAAAATCTGAAACTTGGTGAGCACCGATACAGCACCTCACTGAACCTTATGTGATAGAAGTGATGATCAAAATGTAGGCATACTAAGTTACCTTCAGGCTAGGCATATAAATAAATTTCATGTTTAGACTTGGGTCCTATCTGCAATATATCTCATTCTATATATGTAAATATTCCAAAATCTAAGAGAATGTCCAAAGCTCTGAAGCACTGAGATGGGAGATTGGGACAGGACAAACCAGCAGGACAAGAAGGCATAAGCTGTCAATCACAGAGACCACGTACACACGAGCAGTACACAGTTCCCAGGCCCTGCACCTGGGCCAATCAGAAAGTGCTGTCTTCAATTCTTCTGGCACAGCATCAAGCAGGTTTTGAGGGGACAGCCTACGTGTGACCTCAGGTGAAGAATGAGGGATACAAAAGACCCACATCACAAACCTGGCCACTGTGCACTTCTGTCAGTAGCCCACTCTCACTCTACAGAGCATACTGCTTTTCCTACCTTTAATGAACCTCACTACCTTTTTTGCATGTTTTGTCCTAGTTTTTACCCAAGGTTCCAGGGTGCCAAGAACCCGGAAAGGATCCCTAAAAAAAGGCCGTGGGACTCCAGAATCTGGGAACGATAGTGTTGCTCCTAAGCATTTAAGATAAGGGCTAGTTTGCAATTTTTTGTACTAGTCTTCAAATTATGAATTAAGTAAAATTTACATCTCAGTTCCTCAGTCTTGGTAGACACATCCCAATCACTGAAGCCCAGCACAAGGGACACTTGTCTACTGTGTTGGGCTTTGGACAATCATTTATTGCACAAATAATCTTGATATCTACATGAAGGAAAATATTTAAAGCACAATTGTTTGTGCCCTGAACCTGGATTTTGTGCATAATATATATTGTGATTGGTGATCTGGATTTAATTGGTTCTATCCAAAATGTTCTGATATTTCTGGATTGAAAACAGTGCAATTCTACCTGTGAACAGATTAGATAGAAATAGTGATGAATGGGCAAAGCCTAGGGAACTGTCTGGAGAATGAATAGTTTTGCACTTGTGAGTGTCAGAAAGCTTTAGTGAAATTTATGGACTTCTGTCCCTCTGAGTGGGGCAGAAATTCAAAGCTGAGCCATATACGCTGGGGAGCTCTCTTCTTGGATCTTTTCTTTTTCTTCCTATTACCTTCATGCTCCCTTTCAGTAGTTGAAAGGGATGTTGTAGGTGAAAGGGATGTTGTTGTTGACCACATCCTACTGTTGTGCAAAGCCTATGTGTAACCTTCCTACCAACTTCTGATGATTCTTTTTTTAAGATTAGCACATGTTTGCAGTACCTAATGTTTAGATGTCCTGTGTGGAGTTGGTACGTGTGCTTAACACATCTTAACTCCTTTCTCATCCCCTTTTCTTGCCCTCTCTCCTCCTCCCGACATCTCTCGATCCCTTTCCCATTTGAGGAAGAGCTATCTCCCTACTTCCTATTGTCTGTCTTTTATTTTGCTCTTTATTTATACTTTGAGTGTCTCATGTAAGAGAAACCATGTGATATTTAAGCTTGTGTGTCTGATTTATTTCACTTAACAATAAAGTCTCAAGGTGCATTCATTTGCCTACAAATGACTCAAGTTTATCTTTGTTTATGGCAGAGTAGTACTCTGTCATGTATAAATATATTTTCTTTATCCATTCCCCTGTTGATGGACATATAGGCTGCTTCCAAGATTTAGCTGTTATGAATACTGCTGCTATAAACATGGGTGTGCATATATCACTGTAATATGTTTTTAACTCTTTTGGGAAGATACCTAGAAAAGGAATAGCTGAGTCAGATGGGATTTCTATTTTTAATTTTTTGAGAAATCTCCATACTGATCTCCATAGCGGTTGTACAAGTTTACATTCCCACCAATAGTGTAAAGAGCCCCTACCCCAGGAATTCATCATAAAATAATTATTTTAATTCCTTCTTGCTGGCTGGGTATCCTGTTATCTTGGCCCTGGGGCAGCATTTTTCTCTTTTTGTGAAAGACATTCCTTCATAGGGAAGTGAAAAATCAATGGAATGTCAGAAATATTAACTGAAGGAGCACCAGCCACAGGCTGATCTGAGAAGCAGCGAAGGGAAATAATAGAACTATAACAAAGCTTTCAAAACTGTCAGCTAGGACAGTGAGTACTTCTAAATACTTCCACAAAATTGAACCTTCACTTCCCAAGTAATGTGAGAATTGATTTCTCATTCTGTGAAAGTGAAATACAAAACTGAAATTGCAGAAGTGCTTGGAAATTATAGAAAAGATTTATTTACAGAGTCTTCAGATTAAGGATAAAGTCATAATGATGCAATTTTGAATTTTAAGAGCCCTATTCATTTTCTTTCTTCAGAAGAAGATCATAAAACAAAAGGCTTAGAATGTGCAGGTCATTCTTGGGGGGTTATTAGGACTGGTGGACGCTCGGTCAGAAGTTAGGGAGCAGCAGGGATGGGTCTGGCGGGGGAGTGGGACAGGTCACGTTCAGATGTGTGAAGTGTTTTGAGAGGGAACTGCAGCAGTGGAGCTCACAAATGCTCTGAAGTCCTTCCCCATTCATCTTCTCAGTAGGCCAGCTGAGACTTCCGGTGAAGAGACAGTTATTGCTTAATAGGCACAGTTATCCCCATTCTACTGGTGAGAAAATAGAGGTCTATAAGGGTTAAACAAATTGTCCAGGGGTAGTCACCTAACATGTGAGCTTTGGTCTCAGGCTAACCTGAATGTCGACTCTGCTCTTTCCCTTACGAGCTGGACAGCCTTGATCAAATCTCTTAATCTGCTCAGAGGCCCGGATTGCTACTCGGTAAAATGAAGGGAAAAATAGCACCCAGCAGCATAGAGACAGGAGGCGAGGGGTTTGGCAGTGATTCAGAGTTGGGGCATTTGAAGTACCTGGAGCAGATGAGGCAGGTTAAATAAGTAGCAACTTGTCATTTACTGGCTCTGTGCTGCCGGAAAACACAGAAGAAAGGTTTCGTTCTTACTCTTTAGTAGCTAAATATTTTGGACCTGTGTTGACCATTTTGCCCTGGACATTCAGGGTACATTTTGCATTTTGGCATTTTGCACCAGGCACTTTGCTAAGCTCTGTGGCAGTCAGTCCTAGGTCTGGCGATGTACAGCAGAGAAACCCCACTCTCTCAGGGGTGTTAAGAGAGTGGGTGTCCAGTTAACTTATTCACTCGGGATGTTGTGGGCAACAGATTATTTCCCGACCTTAATTGGGAAACAGTTGTGCTGCACTTCTCTATTCTGTTGTTGATGATGATGGGTTGTTTCCAGATGGGGACTCTCAGTGTTCTTGTGGGGTGTCCTGGTTGACCGTTGCCCTTTAGGGTGCACGCGGAGGAGTGCAGTAACTGGGTGTGACCGGCCCTGCTGCTCCAGGTCACTGCCAGCATTAAGTGTCATAATACTTTTTGTCAGCCTAGTATTGTT